CCATCAAAAACTCGCAGTCGTACTTGACACTTCTGGCATGTCATCCTCGACAGTAATCCTGTACTCTCTCTTTTGCATTCCTTTTACTCCACTCGTAAGATAAATGACAAGACAACATATCCAGACTAAACCGAAATTCATAGGTATGACAACCAATTAGCAATCTTTTCATACTGTAGCCCGTCTACTTCCGACAACGTTCAAAACGTTTCAACTCTTTGAGTATACTTAGCTATCACTTGTCTTTGCTCCAACTTTTCAACCTATTCTCGGAATCAATATCACATCGTCAAGAGTGGTTTAGGGCACATAGGATCTTAGTTGGCACTCACAGTCCATCAAACAAGTTTCGTCCCTCCATCAGACTTCAATCATCTATCCAGCTAAGCAGTTGTCATCTCTCCCCACGTTCGCTCTTTTAATATCACATATTAGCTAACTACTCTCTAGAGCGTGTGCATGATCATAGGTTGACCACACTTGATAGCCCCAGGCAACTCTTAACACAAGCCACACAAGAAACGAGAACGATATTCACCAAACGTTCACGACCAGGGTTCGCCTAAAAATGTCTCAAGCTCGTTTCCCATCGAGGGTCGACACTTGCTATTCTCTCAGAATGTGTCCCATTGGCAACCCCCAAGCACATAAAGTCAAAGTCCAGGTAAGCTACCGACTATCGCGGTTAGCAGATGACATCAACCAGTCGTCTCCTTTGTGCCCGATTTCCACGAGTTCTTTCTTTCGCCCCCTCTCTCTTGCCCATGACTGCCTGCCCGCATCGCGAGCAACTACCTTATAGGCTAGGCGTCGTGAGATGAGTAGTGCAGTAACTCGTTGACAATTGACAACAAGGAAGGTAAAGTTACCAGATACGTGCCAGAAGAGACCTTGAACATGAACAATGTCTAGAGAGCGGTCAAGTAGCGCAGTTGGAGTCAAACGTAATGGCTCAAGCATGAGAGAGAAACCTTAGCCGAGATCATTCCCGATTAGTACGTCCATTGACAACAGTCCGCAAGTTGCCTTCAGACTACCGAGCCCCTAGCATATGAGCGCGCGGCGTCCGCGACGTAAACCAAGGCGACGGACTCAGGCGAGGCAGGATGGGGAGATCGCCAATCGTCAACTTCCCAAGAGACATCGTGCATTGCCCCAGGTAATTGCGCTCTGTCGGTCATGCAATAGCTCGAGCAAGAAAGAGGACGTCAGCCATGTCACCTCCGTATATACCACTCCGCGCCTTTACGAAGGCCTCTCTCTCTTAGGACCTCCTAAAGTCCTCCCTCTCTTCCCATTTCGACCTCCCCCGTGTATGTGTGGCACTCTTCTCCTACTCTCACCACCTGCAACCCGCAGGTCATCAATGCTACTCACTACTGCACGCGGTGCCACACAATGTCACGACTTGAGGAGGGGGGTGACATCAATAGGGGACGTGTTTTGCGGGTTGAGCATGCCACCTATACTCGCAAGACCCCAAACATGCTCTTTTTCACGCTGCCCTCTCTCTCCCCCGTTGAGAATCCGTCTTGTCACAATGCTCTCCACCGTGACATCCGTCACCACGCGATCATCTCAATGCTGATTTTCTTCTCCCTCACACATTCACACCCGCACACATGCCCATGCAGCCGTCCTCTCGCTAACTGCCTCTTGTCCTCTCAAGTTGACCCTCTCGTCTGCTCGCTTGAGACGTCTGCTCACTCTAAGAGCCTTTGCGCAACAGCCAACTAGATCGATGCCCGAAAGTTCCTTCTCAACTTCTCACCATAACACAGGCAAGACTTGCGGTGACCACCATCACCTGCCATGCCTCCAGGCCAGTCCCGTCCTCTTGCCTCTCTCTCTCTCTCTCTCTCTCTCTCTCTCTCTCTCTCTCTCTCTCTCTCTCTCTCTCTGTGTGCGCCCCTTGATTGTAATTGCCTAGTTGACCCACATACGTCGTCGTCACGAAACGACCTTTTGTCACACGACTTTTCTCTGTGTATGCACAGGCCAGCACGCCGTCACACTAATCCGCACGAACTACAGGGAGCGCGAGAGAAGATCCTTCCGTCCCCTCGCTCATACCGATGGTCCTTAATTCAAAGAATGCGTGCATGTCCAAGCTTCTAACGAGACGAGAGGCGATCTGCAAAACACCTGGTAAGCTATAGACACCCCGTCAGCAGAGGACTTCAGCAGGTCCCGGAGGTGACTCCAATTCTTCTCTTCCCGTGTCCAACACCTGCGTGTACTCCTCCCTCTCTCTGCTGGCGCTACGACTGCTGAGGATCGACCTCTCGCTCTCTTCATTTCATTTCATTTCATTTTATTTTATTTTATTTTATTCTATTTTATTTTATTTTATTTTATTTTACTTTTGTTCTGTTATTTTCTGACCTACAGACTGCTAATATGCTGAATTTTATAAGCTATTTGAGCCCTCGTTCAGAACACAGAGATCGTGGTATGGGGTAGGAGCCTACAAAAGAGTGAGAGGCTGGTTGCTGACTACTGGTTGCCAGATGTGTGCAAGCTACCTTGCGGTGCTAATGCTGCTGGTCTGAGGCAGGAAGGCAAAGTGGTGGTGGCCAGTGTGGGCTGTCTGCGCGCGTGAGCTCAAAGTACCAAGCGCACGCTATTCCGGCAGGCGCACAGCCATGGCTCTGCATGGCTATAGGCCAGACTGCTGGAATCTCCTAGCGCGCTGGAGGCCGATGTCTGGGCAAGGCCCCTAGATCACTATGATTCTCGACTACGACGGGGGAGCAGAGGCCAAGCTGAAGATCAACGTGGAAGGGGCTAGGGAGGAAGAGATGAGTGCTGATCCGAAGTTGCAAGCGGCAGTCACGGAGGCCAAGGACCGTGCAAAGAGACGCTGCAGGAGGGACGACGTGACAGCAGAAATGCGGGTAACAGTTGCGTATCATGAGGCCGAGACCTCAACCGATACGGTGGACCGAGAGCAAGCCCACCTGGACAAGGACTCTGTCAACCACTAGTCTCTTCGTGCCCTGGCGTGAAGCGGCCGCAAGTTCGACACGGCGGCACCATAACGAGATACCGATGGGCTCCTTCCTCCCTTCTAAACATGCCGTCGGGCTACCCTTGATGGATACCCGTGTTCGATGACAAGGAGGGGGCCTATGACCTCCCACCGGGGGGGTGATAGGCTTCCTACCGAAGCGGCCTTGAGTTACCCCTCTTTTGGGGTTTACTTTACAGCAGACTGAGAGCAACCGGAACGCGAGAAGTTGAACAATCTGATCGTACTCATGCGAAATCTCAGCATAGGCTGTCCGCTCCCCTGCGAAGCGGCGGAAGACAAAAGATGAAATTCCCAATGGCAACAGTAGTAATAATAATAATAATATTATAATAGTAGTAATATTAATAATAATAGCTAGAAAGGGAAATTAAGAAGAAACGTAGCGCCGGTGCAACATGGCTCCACTTAGATGACTCAAATGGAAGCAACGATTCGAGTCAGGGTGTGGACTCGCTACATGACTCTTTCTCATTTTTCCTTTCCTTCTCTTTAATTTTTCTCTTTTCTTTCCCTTATTTTTTCTCCTTACTCGATTGTAACCACCTGGTCTGTACACACTACCCCTAATCTGACAAGAGGGGAATCGGTGTGTAGTAGGAAACACTTTGCCGACCCGCTACCCCCGCGTCCCTGGACGACAACGACCACCAGCAAGTTTGGTACATTACCGAGAAGCGGAGCGCCTGGCACAATATGGGGCCGAGAAATAGTGTGCCTAATACCCGCGAAGGTCTGTCGGCAAGAAGCTGGTATGCTGTGAAGTCCGAGCAGGGAGCTGGTAGACAGTGGGGCTCCACGAACTGGCATCCGGCACTAGGCATACTTCGCATCCACACGGGCCTGCAAGGCCCGACCAAACAAGGAAAAGTAAGGGCCCTACAGGCCCTGTGTCGTTTTCAGCCTGAAAGCCTGAAAACAAGGGCCTACAGGCCCTGTGTCGTTTCAGCCTGAAAGCCTGAAAACGAGGACCTACAGACCCTGTGTCGTTTCAGCCTAAAAGCCTGAAAACGAGGGCCATTTTCAGGCCCTCGTAAAGTCGACCTCCCCTGAAACTTAGGCACCAGACCAGGGTTTTAGCACAGGCCATTTTGGGCCTGTTTTCAAGACAACCCTCATTTGAACTTCAACGCCAGGGTCTGGCACGTTTTGGCATTGGCAAGAGCAGCCTACTGGATGGGCCAGGACTATATACGACTGGCCCGCCCTGCAGGCTGCAGGCAGTCACGAGGTAGTTCATAGTCACGTAGAGTTCAGGAGGCAGGAGGTAGTCTTCAGGATTCGGCAGCAGCACTTTGGAGGAGCGCTGCAGGAGTGGTAGTAGCGTTAGCAGTAGTCTTCAGCGCTGGGCACTAGTAGGAGCTAGAGGAGCGTTGGAGAGAGAGAGAGAGAGAGAGATGGTTGGCGGAGGCCAGGGAGACTTACGTGTGGTGCCATAGCTCAAGCTTCGTCTTCGATGTACCTGCAACAAGGCGCCACCTTTACATGTTAGTACCGGACACAGAGAGAGAGAGAGAGAGAGAGAGAGAGAGAGAGAGAGAGAGAGAGAGAGAGAGAGAGAGAGAGAGAGAGAGAGAGAGAG